GATGGGGTGATATGTATCTGCAATCACAAAATTCCTATGACGAGATGGGAGGTAGAGATAAGAGAGCCACTCAGAAGCCTGAGGCCAGCTAGTTATCCCAGAGTATGCAATATGACAGAAACAAAGAGACCCTGACTCAAAAACAAGGTGGGAGAAGAGAACTTAATCATAATATTTGTCCTCTGGCCTCCATATGTGCACTATAAAATGTGTGTTCAAGCATGTGTACACATGCATACACACATACACATATACCATATACACGTGATAATTTATAAGAGTGGGATACAAAAGGATAAAACTGGATGATTCTGTCTGTATGTGTGCTAGATCAGACTTACAGAGACAGAAAGCAGAGTGATGGTTGGCGGAGGCTGGGAAAGGAGGAGATGGAAGTTATTATTGGAGTTCCAGTTTGGGGTAATGAAATGGTGTGAATATGGAAGGTGGTTACACGCTGTGTGAAACCTCTTTATCCCACTAAATTGGAGACACCAAAAAGACAAAAAAAAAAAATACCAAATTGGGGGAAATAAAAAGAAAGAAAAAGAACATGGCTATTGAAGTCTGCTTGCCAACTGACGTACTCGTTATTCCCTTTGGTCAAGATGTATCAACACAGTTCTTCTAGCCAAAAATAGCATTCAAGACAAAGCTTTAATGAGTCTCGCATGTGGTTGGAAATAGATTAGAAACAACTATATCACAATCGCTCTTACCATGCTCTTAGGGAAGCAATACTACTACTTCATCTTTATCAGTGAAAATCAAGACTAAGATGAAGCAATGAAGATTTCTGCCAAGTCATCCACTCCAATTGGCTTTTGAAATTGTCTCTCTAGATGTTAGGAAGTCTGCCCTTTGTCCATCTTTTAGTTTGCCATGACTGTGTAGCTTAGCAACTTATACTTCCCATTGTATAGCTTATACTCCCTCATCTAGGAGAGATGATCTCGGTCCCTTCCTGTAGAAGATCTGGCTTGACCCATCTTCTGAGGAAGAAGAATACAGAGGACAATATCCTGAAAGAGGGCACTGTAGGAAAATCTCCAAATAGAGGGAAGCAGAGGACATACCTATCCACTGGCCATGGAAATGGATTTGTGATCCACACAGACAAATTTTGAGGACTTTTGTTTGTTGTTTTATCGGGCAGATAATTCTGTTTTAGTTGAAGACCGCAGGCTCAATTGGATACAATACCTCAATCTAGGGGTCGTCAGAGTAGAGATAGGGTAAAAGAGAATTGGCAAGATGTCTTGATACCACACATAAAAACACACAAAAATGCTAGGTGGTGATAGCACATGCCTTTAACCCCAGCACTAAGGGAGGCAGAGGCAGGTTGATCTCTGTGAGTTCAAGGCCAGCCTCGTCTACAGAGTGAGTTTCAGGACAGTCAGAGATACACAGAGAAATCCTGTCTCAGAAAAAAAGAAAAAAAAAACCCACAAGCACACAAATGTATTCAACAAAGCCACCAAAACCTTCTGATTACTCCACTACTTCTTAATGATAAATAGGAAACTATACATATTACTGGAACACGAAGCTTAGACATGGAAGCAAATTGAATGGAGGGTCCTTGGGTAGTGCTATGGTGATACACGAAGTCACCATACAGTTCCTGGTTTTAAAGTTACTCATAAATAAAGAGGCTAAGCATATACCTCCGCGACCCCAGGCCTTTGTGGATGGAACAGGATTTTAGGGTGTAAAGACTGTCACTGTGAACTAGCTCTCTTTTTTCTTTCTCTGCTATGGTCATGTGGGCTAGTCTTTCCTCAGAGTACTCTTTAGACCAGATGGAGTAACTCATGGCCAGGCACCTGAAACTTAATTCCATATTTCTAATAACTATTTCAGCATCATATTCATGAGTTGAATCATCAAATTAACTCAGATCAGCTCAAAGGCAGGAACCTGCAAGGTCTTCTGAGGAGACTTAATTGTTGCCTTCCACACACACAATTGGAATGACCATTTTCTAACATTATTACAAAAAGGGACTATACCCCAGGCATCCCTCACCTTTTCTGCCATTCATCTAGAATCAGTCGCCTCAGAACCTGAGATGTCCGCATAACACATCCAGCAGGGAATGCAATCATTATATTTCTACTGCATGGTACAGAAGTTTCAGCTATGATGTTAGTAGTCAACAGGCAAAGGGGCTATGGAAAAGAAGGTTGGAAAAGAAGGTTGAATATATTTTGTCTGGGGTAGAGATCAAGTGTTCATTTTGACACAGCTGTCAAAACTTACCTTGTTTTGACAAAAATCCAAACAGTTACCTTCTGTCCATTTCATTATGTGCAAATTATATTTCAATTTTTAAAAGTTATGGTTACCTATTTGGAGTAAAGATGGTCACTTACAGTGATGGAGAAGAAAGCAGGATGCTTACTTTATCCTTCCTCCCATCTTTTCCTGGCATGTTTTATCTTTTATCTCTCTAGATCTTAGAGGCAGCCTAGCAGAATTTCTTCTGTTCAGTGAGGGAGAGACAGATGTGAGAATACAGTAGCTTTCTCTCCAGAATCCTAGCAGGGATGAGAGTAGGGGCATCTAGAGAGGTAGAGCCTTGGTACATGCAATGAGTCTGTGCCATTCCCTACTCCTTTAGGTGCTAGAAGCTCTACCATTTCCTGGTTGTTGGTCATCTCCCTTATATCCCAAACCACAAAGGACTCTATGAAGATGGCCTTGTGAAAATTCACATTACAGAGAAAGTGAACATCCAAAGCCCAGACATCTATGACAATGAGCTCTAGGAAAAGCCTGGGATTCTGGGGTAAGGGGAATGTGGCCATCAGGCATATGACTTCAGTTCAGCCTGGAGGCCATCAGCCCAGGGGACTCTTCACTATCAGCACAGAGTACTCTTCACCTGGCTTATGGGCAACAGCAACACCTTGAAGCTGTTTGGTTGATTCTCACCACTTCCCAGGAAGAGCCCACTGCTTCTCAATGAATCTACTAACAAGCTTTGCTTGCACAGTGTCTGCAGGGTGGCAATCCCCTCTCACTCTCTCATACACGAGCACTTCGGCACCTACAGGTGATGAGAGCAGAAGCTCTGTTTCTGCTTTTGCCACTCTCCGGCCCAATGCTTTAAAAACAACGGACCAATAATATCACTGAAGACTTTTTCCAGAGAGAATTTAAGGGCATTAATCAGATAATGGTGACATCAGTAACAAACACAGCTTTAAGATAGGGTCCACTGCAAGGGCATGATTTTTTGTTTTGTTTTGTTTTTCCTTTAAGCATCCAGGGATGTGTCGTGCAGAAATCCATCCACTTACTGATCCAAACTAGGGGACTGTGAAGGCAAGGGTGGAGTACAAATGAGTCAGTGCTGGTTTCTGATTCTCTCAGCTTGTCTGTTTCAATCCTTTTTCTACCGTTACAACCTCTGCCATCACTGCCCCCCCCCCCGCCCCCCACAATCTGCTCGCTGTCGTTCATTCTAAAGACACGCTGAAGTTTCTAGATCTGATGCTAATAAGGATGAGGGGGGTACCATTTCTCTCAGAACTCTCTCTCACCTAGAAGGTTCCCACAATCCAAAACAGAGTGCATTTTCCTCATCTTGGAGGGAAGCCCGGGATTTGGATTAAAAGCTAACAGAAGGCATCACAAGAAGGTCCATGTGCAACTCCACCTGCCCACCCCTCCCCCACCTCAGCATGAATAAAGGTGACCAGAACCTCTAAGAGTTACAGGCCAACCAAGTAGAGACTTTATCTTACAAGAAGCTGCCCATCCCTTGTGGGATACTGACTCCTTGGGAACTTTGGTGACTAAAGCAAACCTCCAGTGACACTTGTTGTTTCTTGCAGTAGGTTTGGGTAGAACTGGAGGACATGGGGGCAGGCAGGTAGTACCTCCAACAAAAAGGCAAGACGAGTAGAAGAGAGAAAGAGAGGCAGTGGGGAGAATGGGAGGAAGAAGGAGAGACAGGCAAAGAAGCAGAGAAAGGGGAAGACATGGGGGCGGGGAAGAGAATGAAAGGCAATAGAACATAGTAATGGCAAGTTCCCAGCTGCGGAGGCCCTGAGTGGGAGCTGGAGGAGAGACTCCCACTTTGGGGTCAGTCAATGTTTGCTCCTGACTCTCTAGATGAGTGGAGATAGAGCCTTTCCCCTGTGTTGTGTTTCATTGACAAATCCCTCAGAAAATAGAGGAGAGCAGACTTTTTCCCTCTTTCCAACCAAGGACGACAGAGAAGTGGATGGTACCTCCTGCCTGCTTGCAAAAATAGTATAATCCACACCAGCCAGCCCCTGCCGGGCTGAACATTTTCCTAAAAGCATGAAATTGGAGACCTCAGCCCCAAATTACCCCCAAGCTGGGGCTAACCTGTTGCACCTGCCCACCCATGAATCCACACCGGGAAAGAAAGCAAAGGTCAGGTTAGACTCTCACCACAGCAAGGACCCAGGTAATCCTGGGGAAAACAACATTTTAAAATATCACCTTGTCTCCAAGCTCCCTCCCAGGAGCACAACTTTTAACTCTGCCTCCGCTCCGACTCTCCCCCCACCCCCAGGCTAGCTCTGTAACACTTTCCCACTACCTGCCACTGGTTAGGAAAGAGTTAATTAAGGAAGATCCACGATTCATTTCCCCAAACCCTCCCTCTCGTCTACATATAAAAAGGACAGGCTCACACGGAGACTAACACAATTACAAGCTTGCTAGCTCAGACCTCACCTGTCTTATGCAACAGTGCACACACGTACATTTGCTCAGGCTCACTCCCAAGGCCAAGGTCCACATCCCCCCTCTAATTCGGCAGACACAGTTTTGCGCCTTTCTCCTTTCTTTTTTTTTCCCCCCTATGCAGAACCCAGCTTTACAGACAGCCGAAAGAGATGTAACCTTACTGCCAACCGCCTTGCAAGAACAGAACAAAAATGCAGCTAGTCGCTCTCCGTGGTGCTGAAATCTCGCTAGCCAGGAACCCGAGAAGGAGCGCAGTGCTCTGGACTTACCCAGGTTGGGGGGGTGGGGGCTGGGTAGCCGGAGAGCGAAAGGAGCTTCCTGGGCTGAGAGAATTCTTGTCTGTTCGGGCTGGAGCCAGCTGATGCGCTCACTTAGAGCGCCCACCTCTCTCCCTCTCTTTCCTTCCTCTTTTTTTGAGAGGGAGAGAGAAGGCTTCACGAAAGAAATACAATCCAACTGCTGGTAGGTCTACCGGTGGAAGGAGAGAAGAGGCAACCAAATAAGATCAAAAAGTCTGATGGCTTTACTCCACTAGTGGTAATTCCTTGGGTCAGGGAGGACCCCGTCTTCTTTCCCAGTCTGAGGCTGCTCCAGCTCTGTCTCTGCGTGTTGAGCCCACAGCCTTAGCACAGTCGGTCGGTTCCTGCCTCTGACGTGAACGAGATGAGGAAGCCTGGGACCGTTCTGCTGTCTTTCGCAAGCTCTCTCTTTTCCCCTCTTACTGAAATTTCAGCAGCATATTTTTAAGCTGCTTTTTCCAGCCTTCTCCAAGTAGCCCCCTAGTGGACAGAACAGCAATGTGTCTTTGGTCCTCTTGAGCAATCTGGCACCCACAAACAAACTCTCTTAGAGGCTTTTCTACACAGTCAAACAGCCAGGGTCCTGATGAAGGCAGAGACTTTCCTCTGATGACAGTCAGGAAGACAGAGGGAGAATGACGACCTTTTGTGGATCCTTTGCCTGTGGCTGCAGAGCCAGCTCATCTCACTTTTAACTGCTCAGTCACCCAGCCACCTGGAAAGTGCTTTGGTGTTTACGCCTGCAAAGTCAGTCTTAGTTTTTGGCCACCACTGGAGCATTGTATATTTTGCTTCTCTGTGGCTCAATTCCACTGTTTTTAAGATGTGGATAATGCTGCCCCCTCCCTACTGAATGGGAATGCTGAAGGATCAGAGTAATATTGAAACATGGGACCTCTCAGCCGGCAGGAAATTTAAATTCAATCTTATCCAAACACTCTTCTTATATTTGATTTACCTTCAACAAATAATAATAGCTAACATTTATAGAGCTTTTCTACTAGGTGCTAAGCATTGCTATTAATCCTTACAGGTATTATCTCATTTAACTCATACATTAATCCTATAATGCAAATGCTCTGGCTGCATCTTTTAAACTGAGAACCGGGGCACAAAGGAATGAAATTACTTGCCCAAGATAACAAAGTTAGTACAAGTCAGGAGGTTGGACCATTGGCCATCAACCCTGGAGCTTCCTCTACTAACTCTTATGTCACTTTAGAGTGACAATGTTCAAAGTAAATATAATACCTACAAGGGATCATTGTTGTTATTCTGAATAGCATGCCTAGGTTGTCACTGTAATAATGAATTTGCATGTGGCTGAGCTTTTAAAATAAAATATTTACAGTTGTATGTGTCAAACAAACCAGGAATTGCTATTGCTTTTGGAAATCCTCTAAGAAAATACATTCTCTTAATTCAGTTAGTATCACAGACACAAAGCCAGTTGTGAATCTCATGAAATTGAAAAGCACTGGGTATTAGTGACAATTGAGAGGGCACATTACTTCATTTCTACACCCAAAGCAGATCACTTCCCAGAGCCCAACACAGTACTAGGATGGAGCCAGCAATTCAGTAGGCTGAATTCCTGCAATGCCAGATAATAGGTACTGAGTAAGATTTGCCCATTTTATTTAGAATTTCAGTTACGAATTCCTTACTTAACATGGCTTGCTTTAAAAATGCTAGGATTAAAAGGAATGAGGAAGGGCAAAAATAGGTTTTGATGTTTTGCAAATCATAGTCCCCATTTTTTTATGGAGTTTGCAGTTTCTCAAAGTGGGGAGAAAGGGCACAGACCAGACAGTTCAGAGGCTGATGCAGACATGGGCAGAGGCAGTGTAATAAATGAGAACTTAGAAAACTAACTTGACCAGAGGGCCACAGGCTAGCCAAGGAGCACATCATCTAAGCTGAGGCTGGAAGCATGAGAGGTTATCTCAGGAAGGGCAGGTAAGAAACTGAAGCAGACGGCATGGTAAACTCAAGAAAGTGAAGAGAGTACTGTGGGCCTTCTAAGGTAAGCATTACCCTACCATCTACAAACAAGAAGGCTGGAGCTCACACAAGCTAAATGATTTGCAGGTCACCAGCATTCTCGCTGCCAAGCCCTCCTTTGTGTTGTTAGTCTCCACCCATGCATATAGATCAAATCATACTTAGCTACCTCAGGAGATTCTGGAGCCATAAGATAGTTTGTCATCATGGTTTACCTTTCTAAGAAAAAGCTATACCATAGTCAACATTCCAGAAGGCTTAGAATCTACCGTTTTGGAACTTAAGGGTAGACACAAGGATGTAAATGATACAGATATGATGTTTTGGTAGGAATAGGGAAAACTAAAATGGGGTTCTACTTTGGAGCATGATGAATCCAGAGTAGGTAAGGGAAACTCTTAGTTCCAAGGTTAATTAAGACCACCATCATACCACTGTCCCAATAAGCTAGAAGAAAGCAACGTGTAATAAATGAGACAAGGGGACAAGAAAGCTTGGCTTTGCAAAAGAAAAAGAGATGGGAAAGAAGAGATGAACAGTATATGTGATCACCACCCAAGACTATCTTGTTATGGGAGGACTCTTTGAGAACAAGCTTCCTCTTTCCTAATTCTGTGTCTTTTCCTGATTCTTATGTTTACATGGCCAAGTAATAAAGGATTATAAATAATTGCCCTTTTCTCCTATGAGGACATAAAGTTCTTGGGGACCAGAACTATGTTGGACTTCAAGGTGTATTTGAAGTACTGTGGGGTTCTATGGGCCCAGCATACAGAGAATGTCAGGAAAGAGGGAAAGAGAAAATGAGGAGGGAAATAAAGGTAGGATAGGGTGGTAATTCTTTCTTTTGTCTTTGTGGCTCCACAACCTTTTCCCACAGCTATGGTCAGGATCCTGCATCCCTCATGCAGTCTTAGAGTGGTTCTCTCCATCACTCGGAAGAAGAGCCCTGTTACATCTGCATCTTCCAACCTGATTACAGCAAACCGGTCACCCATTCCCACATTCTACAGGTAGAAGGCCCAGGGTGACATTATATAGGTAAGGGGCTCAATGTTCGGGAAATAGGCACTTCCTCTAAGGCGATGAAGCAGCCTGTTTTGGATCAGGAGAGACAAGAATGTGCAAGGCTATAATCTCTGATATCTTATGCATAGTCCCAGGCCATAGTCCCTGACCGTGACCACACATGGATAAGTGGTTCATCTGCAATGACTGGGAGCTCATGGCTTCTCAGTATCAACTTTACAGATAATCAGAAGTCACACATTCCGATCATGCTGTAGAAGCTGCAGAACTGCAACATAGAGAACATTCATTTTGTTCTTGTGGCCTCTGACTAAAGAGAAGAATTGAAAGGAAAGCTGCCAACATGAAGAGTCATCCAATAGCGAAGACTTAAGCATAGCCAAACTCAAGACGCCACTTGTAGGACACTAGAGATGTTCAAACATTAGAGTCAAGGGTTCACTCATTCCCTTTCAACTCAGATGACATGAATTGTATTGGCCTAATGACTCTAAGTTGTATTTAGAATAAACCATTTCAGGATATAGGAGATAGAAAGAGGAATTCTTTTTGTTTGTTTGGTCTTTTTTGAGACAGGGTTTCTCTGTGTAACAGCCTTGGCTATCCTGGAATGAGTTCTTGTAGACCAGGCTGGACTCAAACTCACAAAAATCCCTCCAATTCTAGCACTTGGGAGGCAGAAACAGAGATGAGCACCACCACCACCTGGCCTAAGGAAGAAATTCTTGAAGCCTGCCATAAGAACAGTGAGGCTCAAATGCTCATCCCCACAAGGAGGCACAGAGGCCCTGCCTGCATCCTAAGACTATACTTGGGTTCTGGCCCAGCCTGACTCAGCAGGACTTGGTGACCTCATTGTATGATGAGGATAATATCTGAAGAACTCTAAAGGAACAGCTGCTGGCCATGGCGACAGGAAGGCTGGAGCTACCAGCAGACATTGGCTAGGAGAGGAAGTATAGAAAATAAATGCCTTGAGTGTTTTAAAACACCCAATTGAAAGAACCTAGGAGAGTGAGTGCGTGGGTGGAGGCTTGACAGAGCAAGGCTGTTGGACAGCTCCAAACTCTGCCAACCTGCTGAAAAAGCAGGCTATGCCTCGGTGTTGAGGCAGTAGATGAAAAAAAGATCCCTTGCCCCAAATTTTTCACTTAATTAGATGCTACAAGAAGGCAAAGCCCATTGCAATAGAGATTGTGGGCCTATTACTTTGCCTGTGAAGTGCATCTTCCCAAGCTGATTCTTTTCCTAGAATCAGAACCTGGCTATTCATAATCTCAAGTATTCTCCTGGCCACATGACCTAGACTTGATCACAGATGTCTGCCTTTCCTCCCAACGCACTGAAAGGGTTCAAGACCAAGCACAACCAGCCAGAATCTTAAAAGTTGAATAAGTTGTTCTCTAAGAGCTTACCAAACAAGAACCTTGTGAGCCTAGAGTTGACCATAGTCATCTTCCTGATTTTATGAAATGATCCCATCGATAATTACAAATAATGATGTCAGTTCTCAGCAGATTGTAGAGCCAAGGATGGGAAGAAAGTGCTGGACAATGGTGTCTGAGATGCTAACTCCAGGGGCGGGAAGAAAGTGCTGGACAATGCTATCTGAGATGCCAGCTCCAGTGCGCTCTGAATCCCAGGAAGGTAAGTGATGTACGCTCTTTTGCTTAAACTAATTTGTAGTGGTCTTTGTTTCTTTAACTACTTTATCCCCTTTTCTTTCAGCACAGTATCCCTCTTTGTAGCTCAGACGGTTCACCCAACCATGACCCTCTTCCTTCAGCTTCCCAAGCGTTGGGATTATATATATACCACCACACCCAGCTATGACTTTTAAATCCTGCAAGGTTCCTGGAGGAATTGAGGAATGCTTAGACAGAGACCTCAGAACTGTCATTTAAAACATGAGTTCAGAGCAGCAGTGGGGAATGAGTTAAGTGTTCAAAGCAGAAAGCTAAACATTTTCTTTCTTATTCTGCTGGGCACAAGTTCTGAGACTCAAAACTTTCATTGGGAAGTATAGAAAACAGTCCAGCAGGAAGATAGGCAGCCACTGCTGTGTCCGTGGGAGAAGTTTGGAGGGGACTGCCTCAGAGTGCATATTAGTTATGGAATTTGTTTGCCCTTTGGTTTTCAGATGAAAGGACACTGCTCAGGACCTGGCAACATAGGGGCCTCCAAGCCCCTTTGTGGAGTGCTCACCTACAAGAGGACAGCAATTCCACAGTCCCTATTCATGTGTGACAAACCTTTCCATTCAGGCTTCTAGCTTGCCCAGACTGGAACAACACCTCCTCCCTCTCAGCTCATCTGGTTCCTCTGAGGGCAGAGCTGGCTCAGACGGTTCTGAGAAGAGTCTGTTCTGGGAACTGCAGCCCTGTGTTTGTGCAAGCAAGTATGCACTATCTCCCTGAATCAGGAACCCTGCCCTTCCCCCCTGGCACCTCAGGCTTCTGTGCATAGGGCCTGGCCAGCTGCAGTCTGCTGGGGAGTGGGGGGGAGGACTGCTGGGTGATGGAATGCTAGCCAAGGAGGGATGCAGCTGAGCTCCTGGCTCCCTGGCCTGCCTGCCTGCCAGCTAGGAATTGTTATCTATACCCGAGAGCAAGCCAGGCTTCCTACACTAAATTAGCCAGAGCAAAGCAGATGTCTGCCTTCAATGCAGCAGAGGATTAGATCAGCCGGTCTCCTCCTGCTGCCGACAAGGGCAATGGTGGGAACCCAGAATAGGTGGCATTCCTGCGGCAGGACTGCCCCAGAGCTAGGCAGCCTGTCAGCACATCTATACCCACCCCTCACTGTCCACTCCAGGCAGGGTTTCCTCCCCCCACCACCATGCAAGCTTCTTATGCACATTGTGTTTTTAGAGTTTTAGCTTTCATTTGCTGTGGCCCCTGAATAAGAAATAGAAGCCCAATTTTAGGTGCTGCCTCCTGCATTAACCACTTTAGAGACTTTAAGTCCCCACTCCACTTTACTCTCAGACAGTCTCCCAGGGGATACCCCAGACCCTCTCCCTTCTTGACTGTTCTTTGTTTTATAGGCATAGCTGCTGGAGCACAAAGATTTGGTGTGGTTTAAAGTTCCAGGTCCCTTTTAGCACTGAAATAGACACTTAGTTCCTGTTCCCCACACAAAATGAAAAGGTGAACCCTTTGGTTACAAATTATCACCCCCAAACAAGGCAGAAATATGACTTGGTACCTAAGAAAAGGATTTCAAGGAAGTAGCTAAGCCCCTTTGGAGATTCCATCTCTTCTGCCCCAGGGACAACCATGTGCCATCCAAGAGAGACCAATATCTTCATCAGACACTGGACCCGTGGCAGCGTGCCCTTGAACGTGCCTCCAGAACAGAGAGAAACACGCTTCTATCACAAGTGCGCATCATTCGGTGGCAGGGCTACGTTCTGAGAAATGCATAACTGGGCAGTTTCATGACTGTGTGAAGCCTGGAGTGTACTTATGAAAGCTAAGACAGCAGCAGCGTCACTGGGCAACATCAGCTGAGAGAATCGTTGGCCTCTATTGATCCATCATTGACATCTTGCAGCCCATGCCTATATTTATAAATTATATCCAGTCTGTGGGAGTTTGAGTGGGAAAATGCTGTCCCTTCCACATAGGATCATTTATTTAAATACTAAATCCCCAGTGGAATGACTGTGTGGGGAGGTCGCTGGACTTTTAAAATGTGGAGCCTTTGTGGAAAAAAGCACTTCTAGGAGTTTCTAGCTTTGTCTAATTATCTAATTTTCCTTGTTTCCTTTGTGTTGATAAAAGATGGGGTCAGTCTGCTTCCTGCTCTGACCACCCACTGCCATGCCGTTACGGATTCTCCCTCTAAAACCACAAGCCAAATAAACTCTTCCATCTATAGGTTGCTTTGGTCATGGTATTTTATCACAGCAACCAAAAAGCTACTCAAACAGTCTCGCGTACTTTTTGTTACATCAGTACGAGGTAAGGGCTCGTTGTGGATGTTATAATTGTTCCATGACTCCCCTGGTTCCCAGGCTTTCCTGCTTCTCAGCCTGAGTGAGTTCTGGCATCTGAATCCTTCCCTGGTGATGGCCAGGTTCACAATTCCTTCAGCTTTCACTACATGTGAGCAGAAATACTGGGAAAAGCATGGCTTCCTACACGGGGATAATAGGGCGCAGATCCTGGGCCTTTGTGGGTCCTGGGTCTTGTAGATGTTAGGCAAGTGTTCTACCAAGTAACTACATCCCCAGATGGATATTTACTCCAGAAATTCTGTTCTATAAGTCTGGAAAAGGTTGTTTTCAGTTCCCTCATGTGTCCAATAGCAACCCCGACGGTCCCATCCTCATCGCAGGACATCTGTGCAGATTCATTCTCAGAGAGAGCATTAGATGGCGGTTGCCCTGGTTCTTATCTAGGTGGGTCTTGACTTTTTAAGTAAACATCCTTTGCAGATTTAGCTGCTTTTCTCTTGCCTAGTTATGACTTTAGCTTTAGGGAATTTTGACAGATTCTGCCCAAGGCAGTTCTGTAAGGGGCAAAAGAGGAGCCTAGGTCTGGGTGAGTGGCCCTGGGTTTAAGCTGCTATGAAGTCACTGATGAGCTATGCAGTTCTGCCCACTCACACCTCTCTCCACATACAATCCTTCATCAAAAAAAAAAATCATTCTGATGCCATCTGCCCCTCATGGTGTGCACTGATCAGCTGAGGTTCTGGATGAGAGCTGGAGAGAACATCAAAGACACAGGGGAAACTCGACAGTTGTGTAAACAGTATAAACATCTGCCTACATAAGCCTGATCTTGATCTTGCTCCCTCAGTGCCAGGACGCCATTCCTCAGCCAGGTTTTCATAATGGTCAGCAATGCCACTAATGTCCCAGGATCTCCTCCAAGCCATATTTCCTTCATAGCCCTTGGCACCAGCTAGCATTTTATATACCATCTTTCGGTTTATTCATTGTCCAATCTTTCACCACATTTCCTCTCCCAAAGGGCAGGGCCTTGGCCTGAGTCGGATCCCCCAAGCCTAGAACAGGACCTGCTTCCCACAAACATGCTTCATAAATATTGCCACCTGAGAGCATATTTTATATCCTGGTCATTTTTACTTCCCTCGTAGCATGTTTTATAGCAAGCAGCAAGGTTTCGAATCTGACAGAACAGAATTTAAGCCTTCTCTTTTTTACCTTAAGAAGTGCACCCTGAGCTCCCGTGTTTTCTGCTACAAAATAGAGAAAATAGAGCATGAGCATATTGTGAAGATCAAGGGCGAGGAAGGTACTCCACGATGCCCGGCACTCAGAATCGGCTCGTTATGTCCCTGGTGCATGGGTAAATGAAGGAAAGGCTGAGCAAATCTATCCATCCGATCTCTCACCTTAGAGTCTTCTTACTTTCTCTGCCCTTCCTTCCTCTCCTGGAGGCAAGCACACTGGAAATCCTGCTAATCCTTCAGCCACAGGGCATCTGTCTCGCCGAGTCCCTGCTGGCAACAGCAATCTGGATCAGCGTTAGAAGTTATTACCCTTTGAAGCAAGGGTCGGCCACTATTTTAGCTCAAGTGCCACAAATATGGAACAAATTTTGCCAGAGGCACCAGAATGGCCAAAGGAACATTTTTCCAATTTTCACGACGGTATCACGAACACCCACTGGCATTTTGACTCCACATTGGGCTTTTCTATAAGATCTTTAATATTTATATCTCTTTTCATATTTTTTTTTGCCTATCTTTCTTTAGGAGAAAACTTTTCCTTTTCTCTTATTTTTTATGCCCATCCCCTCCTTTGGCCCCAATCTTCTTTCCTCAAAAGGCAAGCCCTTCATGCTATTCTCAGCGCTGTTCATTTCAACATCGTCTTAGTTAGGGTTTCCATTACTGTGGGGAGGAAAGGGTTTATTTGGCTTACATTTCCAGATCATAGTCCATCACTGGAAGAAGTCAGAATAGGAACTCAAGAAGGGCTGGAATCTGAAGGCAGGAACTAAAGCAGGAGAGCTACTTAATGGCTTGCTTCCTCTTGCTTGCTCAGCCTGCTTTCTTATAGAACCCAGGACCACCAGCCCAGGAGGGCACCAACTACAAGGGCTGAGTCCTCTCCCATGGATCACTAATTGGAAAAATGCCTTACAGCTGCATATCATGGACGCATTCCCTCAGCTGAAGTTCCTTCTTCTCTGATGACTCTAGTTTGTGTCAAGTTAACAAATAAAAACCAGTCAGTACAGCTGGCCCCTTATCAACTTGACACACAAAAGCATCACCATTAAGCCACAACCCTCCCTTTCTTATTCATCCCCAAGATCTCACATTAAAATCATAAATACTTTTAAAAGTCCCACAGTCTTTACAAATTAAAATACATTAAAACATCATCAGTGTCTTTAAAATATCCAATCTCTTTTATAAGTTCAAGTCTTTCAACTGTGGGATCTTTAAAAAAAAAATCAAATTAAATACCTTCTTCAGGAGGGAAGAACCAGGGCATCATCACAATCTGAACCAAACAAAACCATTTCCAACAGCATAAATAACTCTATGTCCAATATCTGGACTTCACTTATGATCTTCTGGACCCCTCCAAAGGGCTTAGGTCTGTTATCTTGACTCCGCCCTCTGCAGCACACACAGCTTGTCTTCTCGTCTCCGGCAGGCTCCACTCCACTGCTGCTGTTGTTCTTGGTGGTCACCCCATGGTACTACCACCTCTAAAATGCTGGTGTCTTCTGCCACAACTGGGCTGTACCTTCATCAAAAGCCTCTCATAGGCTCTCTTCATGGTGCCAAGCCTCAACTTCTTCACATGTCCCCTTCAGTCCTGGGCCTTCAACTTCTACTGAGACTGCACCTTCTCCAAGGGCCTCTCCTGACCTCTCACAGTGCTCAGCCTCAGCTGCTCTCCAGGACCCCTTCATGCCTTCAGAACCAGTACCACCTGGGCCATGTGTACACATTACCAACTGCAGCTGCCGGCACAAGGTACAAGCCGTGGCTGCCTCTGGAGCATGGCTTCTCTTCTCTGTGTTCTCAGGAAACACTTCCCAGGTTTCACCTTAACAATGCTGGTCTCTTCTTACCCACCAGGAATTTCTCGGCTCCCGCCAACCAGCATCAAGTACCCCAGCAAAGCAAAATTTTGCGTTTGTGGTTCTGGTATCTTCTTAATCACAGCTGCTTCTTCAGCCTCAATTAACCAGAACCACAGGCTCTTAAGTCAAAATAACAAACGGCAGTGAGTGTTTAAACTTCTCTCTGAAATTTCACAAGCCAGGTCTCCATCTTCTGCACTGCTCCCAACGTTCTTGTCTTCCAAGCTCCCACAGAACATCCCACAGAGCTCTCAATTCTTGCTGGTTCATCTAGACCCAAATTCCAAAGTCCTTCCACAACCCTCCTCAAAACATGCTCAGGTCTGTCCCAGCAATACCCCACTATGCTGGTACCAACTTCTGTCTTAGTTAGGGTTTCTACTGCTGTGACAAAACACCATGACCAGAAAACAAGTTGGAGAGGAAAGGGTTTATTTGGCTTACACTTCCAGATCATAGTCCATCATTGGAGGAAGTCAGAACAGGAACTCAAGCAGGACTGGAACCTGAAGGCAGGAGCTGAAGCAGGAGAGCGTCTTACTGGCTTGCTTCCTCTGGCTTGTTCAGCCTGCTTTCTTATAGAACCCACGACCACCTGCCCAGGGATGGCACCACCCACCATGGGCTGGCCCTATTGATCACTAATTGAGAAAATGCCTTACAGCTGCATATCATGGAGGCATTTTCTCAGCGGAGACCCCTTCCTCTCTGATGACTCTAGCTTGTGTCAATTTGACACACGAAACTAACCAGTACAAACATCCCCCCTCCTTCTCCTCTCTTCTCTCCAAGGTTAAGGAGGGTGGTGAGACTCTATCAATATGGGGTGAGGTAGAAGGTTCAGTTCTGTAAGACTCATCTTCGAAGGTGGTTTTCTGTCCACTCAAGCTCTTGAAGTGAAAGCACAGGACTAATTCTCCTGTGGGATTTCCTACATTATTTTGTGAGCACGCAGAAAGCCTTACAACAAATTTATATTGTGTACTTTTCTTATTATTGTGGCTAAGTGCCTGACATAGGCATCTTAAGGTAAGATTGATTTATTGTCGCTCAAAGTTTGAGGGTATAGTCCATTATGGTGGCAAGAGCATGAAGCCACTGGTCACATTACATTCGAAATCAGAGAGAGATGAATGCTAGTGTTCCCCTTGTTTTTGTCTTTTTATTCAGTCCAGAACCCTAAGCCGCCGACATTCAGGGTAGGTCTTCCATGCTCAGTTAAACCTTTCTGGAGATACCAGAGATCTATCCAATGGTACACTTCATACCAGCAAGCTGACACATCATCATGATGCAAGCTTTGCCATCATCACAAGATGCAAAGACTATGTGCTTCCTGTGGACATCTGAAAGAAGGGAAGGGAGCTTCTGGGTTGAGGCTAGTTTGATCCTAACTTTCCCAGGTTACCCGAAGCATCCCTATGACCTCTACAAACCATGTTCAGCAATTCACAGAGCACAGATTCTAATCTTGGTCATTAGGCACTGTCGTTGTCCTCAAGGCAGCTTTTCCTTGCCTTTATCATCCATTTATAGCCTCTTGCATTTCTGAAAATTGAGAACGAGAATCTCTACTCTTAGGTCTAAACCCCCGAGAGTGTGCTCTGAGGTTGCAAGCGTGAGAAAGTAGTCTCACAAAGGGTTGACAAGAGCATTCTGATTTCCCTGCCAGTCATACAGATCAGTGGGCATCGACACCACATTTTTTAGCCACATGAGGAGTGCTCAGAACTGGAGGTGCAAGGTCACTTGAGGTAGGTTGTTTTTTCTCATAAGGAATGGCACTTTGGAAGGTGTCAGCTCAACAGCTCAGG